CACCAGTTAGACCCAAAAAGCCTGCTAATTAGAATCTTTTGGAGAAAGCAAAAGGTGTCCGTTGTTAGCTATTAAAGTCGCACCAAATCCGCTTCCTACGGTTCCTACTTTCTGAGCTTGTTCAGTTTTGTGTTGAGAACCTCAAAAAAATACCAACTAAATTTATGCAAAGGAAGTGTAATAAGAAGAAAGATTAGAAAGTTTCAGTTTATTATGAAAGGAAGGTGTTAATTGAACACAGGAAATAGTAGCTTTCAGTCAACGAGTGTGTAGCATTTACTTCTTGAATCTGTGGCTTTCTCCTGTATGACATTGACACATTTTCTCTGGAGTAAAACAAGTTCTGATTTTCCGCGTATCAAGCTTTAATTTTATTCAAGAGGCAAGGAGTAGTAGCTGCCACTAATTTCAAATACAGATCACACTAGCAAAATGAATTGGATTGCACATTATCAGCTACAAGATTAACAAATAAGCCACATAAACACCTAGGTCTTGGTTTGTCAGCAAAATAGTGTGGCTATCAGATGGAGTTCTTTACAAATTTGTCTTTCTTTTGAGCCTTGTCCCAGCAAAGAAAATAAAATACATTTCTAAAGGAAAACACAACGTACTAGTTTCTATCCTATCTGGCTTCCTAGAGAATACATATCTTTCAGTTGAAAGTTGAGCTCATATTACAATTAGGGGTATGCTACTTAGATTTTGTCTGCAACCTGATGTTATTATGTGAAAAGACTGTTTGATTTCAAGTTAAAAGAATGAAGCTACTTTAAATCTGGTATGAGCAATGCTGTGCAGAAGATGGGAATCAAATATACATGGAAGTAAAGAGGAATTATTTCCTTCTTGCCGCAACTCAAAATGGAATTCATACTTTCTTGTGGAGAGCTCGTTCAACTTGAATCTGCTTAATTAGAATGTATTTATGATTCATCTTTTCACTTTGACTAGGTGAAATAATCAATTATTTACAATTTTGGAAAGACGTGGGAATGAACTGACATTTTGCCAGGTCATTTGTGTTCACTAGTACATACAAACAGTAAAGTAAAAGAAATCTGACACCAAATCTGCATGACTGAATTGTTTGCATCACTTGATGTTTATTTATCTAAAGTTTAACGATCATAAGAATATTTTTTACAGATTGGAGTTCTTTAGTGAAGTCAAAGAAGAATCAAGTTACTTTTATTTTGGGTTTAGAAAATTATGTTGGATGAAAAAAAATCATGTATTAGGTAGTAAATGTAAGATTGAGGCAATTATTTAGCATGGATTCTCCAGTGTCCTATCTATGAAAACCATTAAATTGTGGTTGCATAATGCACTGCATTACCATAGAGCTCATACTGGTAGGAAAACATCAACTGGTGACTTTTCAAATAGTGTGCACACAGCATTAGCAATCCATTTCTTCTTGTGTTTTCAACAATATATCAAAGAAAGGGAAGAGGTAGAGGATTTGTTTGGAGATTACTAGAGGTGGTATGTGTTACTATTTAGTTTATTTTGGCCACAGAATGCTATAATTGAGGTCATGCAAGTACGTTTTAGTGGGCTTTCTCCATCAGAAATATCGTTAGAGGAGGCTGAAATTATTTGTGTTCACTCAAAGATTTGGTTTTGTATAGGTCAGTTTAGAATATGGTATTGAGCCAGACAAAGAGATCACTAGTTTGATGGAGATTTAGTACTGCTAGAGGTAAAATATATTTTTAATTTTTTTTCTTATGGGGTTTAAATCACCCATAAAGCTTTGTAGCATCTGTGGTTACTCTTTTTGTCTCTTCATGTGAGTAAAATACCTTACTAATCAAAAGGATCTCTTCGAGACTCAGGCCAGGAAAGGTAAATGAGAATTCCCTAAGATCAGTCATTTCTGCTTTACTCCAGCAAGTATGCTTGTTCTTTCATGACACATTCAGGAGAACAAGGAGTTGTTGAAATTCTATAGTATGAAGGTGGATTTAATTCATCTTAATCTCTATTGATAGTACTTTTCTTGACTTACTATGTGAGTTTATTGAGGTTAGCCGTAAAATGATTTACATCGTTTAAAATTTTTATACAACGCCAATATCCCAGACAAAGTCCTCTTTATGACCATTTTCATGTTTCTCCTGAATGTGGTGCAGCTATCTTCTCTAGTTGAAAAGAGAGTAGAGTGTATTTTCTGGTGTGAATTAGGAAAATATATCACTTGCTGCATTTGTCTTGTAATCTATAAGTATGAATGCAAGTAAAAAGATGCAGTGTGTGTGTGTTTGCGTTGAATACCATGTCCGACACAATACATGGGAGACATGTCCAACATGCATCCCGAAATAGAGTATAATGGATATAGAGGATCCATATGGCTGATTCCAACAGCTGGACAATTGTAGAAGTAACATGTATTCTCTCTATCCGATTATGTGATAGGATTTAAACGAGATACCATTCATAAATTTGTCTTGAAATGGAGCCTTTTTGTTTATGTTGTTTTGTTTGTCATGGTATCAGTGTCTCCTCCAGTGTACTTTTGAAAATATTCGGCCAATCACCTTCTGACTGCCTAGTGTACTTCATTGACACAGATGCACAGTTTGCCTTGCGGAGTATCGGGAGGAAGATACATTACGTATTTTGCCATTATGTGGGCACTATTTCCATGCCACGTGTATTGACATATGGTTTCGGCAGCACTCCACTTGCCCAGTTTGTCGAATTTCTCTCCGTGAGACTGTTGAGACAAAGTGCTTTATGCAACCCTTGTTTAGTTCAGCTGTCCGATCTCAATATGTGACAGACTCTCTCAATGTTAATTCGAACCAATGCTCGTCATCAGGGCAGAGGCTTTCTTCAAGATTACACGATGGCCAGAGAACGAACCACACTAAAGAGAGTGCATCAAATACATAAGCCTTTAGGCCACGAGTGTAAATGGCGAAATTGGCAGGAACTTAAAGGTATTTACAATGTTGTGATAATAATCTAATTATGCAGATTTTGCTCATGCTTTCTTTCAAGTATAGCATAGTGATGTCTGTATACAAATATACAATGGACCTAATGTGATTCGGCCCTTTCCTGAACCCTACATGTACATAACAGGAGCTTAGTGCATCGGACTGTCTCTTTTTATAGCAAGGTGATGCCCTTTTTTTTTGCCTGCCTTCTTTTGTATACTATACATCAGCTGGGGTGGATAGGTTTTTTGTAAGTCAAGTCAGGGTAAACATGTTTTTTTTCTTTTTGTAAATATTGTTTAGTTTAGGTGGTGGTAGTCCTGTAGAGACATTAGTTCAGCTTCCTTTCTGGCTATACATTGCAAGCTAAGATACACTATTACACTAGCTTATCAGTTTATGTAAATAGACATGCTGATATGGATGTATTATGATTGTTTTGATTCATATTGATGTGTTTGCTCAAACGAAGACAAAGAGACATGCCAGTTAATTAGCCATAATAATTGATAGCTATACATAAAGATTTTTGAAGCAACAATAATTTTTAAAGCTGTACATTTTTAAAAAAAATTTAGTCAAGGACAGAGAAGAGGAAGGGCATAGCGAGAATTGAACACACAAAAATCAGTATTATGAAGAGTGCGGTCCTTTTCCGGACCCTGCGTGATGTTTCGTCTGCCTTTTTTTTTAAAAAAAAAACTAGTTTTGGTTATGCTAATATGGAAGTGATGTATCATTAATGTTGTTTAGGTTGGAAAAATGACGTATAGCCGTTGTAAAAATAATAGTCGAAAAAATGTATAAAATTTATATATTTTTGTATATATATATACAAAAATTATACAAGTTTTATACATTTTTTCGGCTATACAAAAATATATAAATTTTATACATTTTTTCGACTACTAAATATAAATAGTTTCTGACTCGGGTTAAAAGTGATAAGACCCCTTTTAGGTTTGTAGTTTGGTTCCTTCTCCTTTTAAGACCAAGTTTTTTTCCTTAAAATTCATGAATTTTCCTGTGCAATTGATAAAGGATGAAATGTGTATTCCATAAAACTGAAATAAAAAAGTGAAGGGGAAGAGAACCGAGTAGAGGGTTAGCTTTGGTGTAATAATAAAGCAGTAGAGAAGACTCAATTGGCTGGTTTTTGGGTCATCATGATATTCTTTTTGGTTTCTCAGAGGTTTCGACTATTCTGGATTTACACCTTGTAAGATCCATTAAAGGGGAAGCGCGCTACTAAATTTCGCTATACAATTTGGCTTTGTTATTTTAGGACGTGATTATACTAAATTTTAATTAACGCGTTGCGTTTTCAGAAGACAAAAGAAGAAAAGATAATCACATAATTGCAACTTTTTGGGTTTATATTTCATATGCAAAGTAAATTTTTGCTTCCGGTCTTCTTTTATGACACAACAAAGTACTTCTGAATTATAAAAAAATGGATGATTGGATTGAATAGTAAAAGAAAGGGAAATAGAAAAAAAAACATAATTCAAAATGTTTCCTTTCCACTCTTTTCTTTTCCATTTCGATCAATCAAATTTGAAACAAAAAACTATTTCGATATTACACCAAAAGAGAATGGCTCAACAAATTTCCACTAGAATTAAATAATCAAACAACTCTTCTAGAAAAGTAGAAAACACATTTTGTTTTGTGGAAGAGGGACCCTCTTGCATTGACATTTATTTGGCAGAGATAATAAAGAAGAATAAAACAGAAAAATAAAAGAAAGAGTACTATGATGACTTCATTAAATGCTTCTCAATTTATTAGTAGTACTATTTTAATACAAAATCCTTAAGCAATAAAACTAGTTTCACAAAATTAGACGAAAGATAAAAAATCATGAAATACAAATTGAACCCC